GCTGGTAATTTGAGCACGATGAAGTAATTGAGCAACGAGTCACATTGCTTGTGGTGGGTTATACAATCGCCGGACTGAACTCAGGTTACCGGTAAAACACACGTCAACGTGCATCATCACTATTAAACACCCCGAAAAAAATGGTCTGTACTATATATTGCATACTAAAGTGTACATATGTGTGTGCATGGTGTGAGGATAGGGAATGCCGCGGTAAGCATTACGAATCCGGCATCCCGAGTTCAATTCCCACTCACGGCAAACACCAGAGACGATTATCTGAATCAGTCCTGGGCCTCTCCTAGGTCGACGCAGCCTCAAATTAATATTTGGTGCAGTGCGTAAACATTGCCAATAGGGAGACAAAGGCGGCCTGGCGTGGTGCTGGCCACCCACCCCCTTGTGTGCCGTGCCAGTCTAATAGATGCCCGCAAACAGCACTTGCCCCAACAATCTGTTAAAGGCTATGTGAGGGATCTTTGTCTGTGTAGACATGGTGGCAATTAAGATACAATACAATATTGCTGGTGAACACTAGGGCAAAATAAACAATGTTTGTTCATTGCGCAGCTGTCAATAGAAAATATTGACGTCAAATACATAACATAACAATAAAACGAAAATACTGTACGCTATTGCATTAATTTATATAATACATAAATCACAGTTAATGCTTTATTTCTAAACCATTAAAACCCTTGTGTTATATAAGAGGCATCTGCCAATGCTTATTTTAAGACTCGAGTAGCTCTACTGCACTGGGGCGCTCACGTCAGCCAGTCTACTCAGCCAGCGATTGGGCGAGCCAAAATGTGCTCCCTTCGCCAAACCACACGAACTAGTGTGGTTACGTATGGTCAACAACAACAAAAACCACAATACCGACTACGCCTAAACAACAGCTCCATCGGTCCATTATCCACGATGCCAGCAGACGCTTACGAAAGACCAGGGGCCGCAAAGACTCACTCATTATAGACAGGACACCTTGATTTGACCACTGCTACCTACAACACGGGGACTCTGTCGGGAAAAGCAGACTTTGTTAGACTGGAGCAAGAGGTGGGGCGAAATAAACTGGGATATAGCTGAACTTGTAATCCTTGCAATGACCTGGTGAGAATCCACACAACTGAGCTGGCACGTGGGCCAAAGGGCTGCAACGCAATCTCACATATGTCTGACGCTAAAGCAAGCAAACTACAATTATAGGACCCAAGATAGGTTATCATACAACTACAGTAGAACTCATGTCACCCATGAATCCATGCTCCTATAAGCTAAACTTACATTTAGTTTTTATTTTACCAGGTATTACTCATGGAGCTGTATAGCTCTTTTTCAGAAGCGATCTCGCCCAAAACGATAGCTCCACTTAGTGGCTTATCATGTGAAAATGTATAGCAGCCAAATACTCTAAATGCATGCTTCTAAATGCATGCTTCTAAATGTGGAGGGAAAAACCGGAGCACAAGGATAAAAATCCAAACGTCCACGGGGAGAACATGCAAAATCCACATTTTCAAGTGTTAGGGTTGAGATTGCACCTACGACCTCCTGTATGCCAGGCGAGGTAGTTAACATCTCGCCACCATGGTCCTATTGCCCTCGGGACCAAATATAGGGTCCGCGATAACTCATATTATCCATACCCCTATTGCTCCAATTATCTGAGATTATCGACAGTTATTTTTTCCATCCTGAGACTGTTTCATATTTTCCGCAATAGATGTGAATAAGTGAAGCTCATCATCACACAACTCATTATCCGTTATCCGTCATTTTTTTATGGTCAGCGTCAATGTGCGGATAACTCCACGGATAACATGAACCACCAATTCCATCCCCAACATTACCGCGGAAAAGAGGATTTCTGCTATTCCTCACGCAACTGCACTATTCACGCCAGTTCCACTGCACAAATGAAATGTTTAGTTTCTGTAACTGTACAGTCAATCATCATGGTGCTCGTGGTGGGGTAAAGCGTGGGTACTGCCACCCCTTCCAAGACATTTGTCCAGCATGGAAGAATTGGGCGGATAACCTCTAGATTCGCCGTTAAGATTTCCCTGTCGTGGAAGACATTTCACCAACTGTGGCGTGCATAGTCAATTACAGAGCAGCACCTTTACATTTTACGATCAATTACAATGTATTGTTCTTTCTCCCCCGATACAGTACAGTATTTGTACTGGGATATATGTAACATGGTCTGAAAACAATCATTCCCTGCGAAGGAATGGCGATATGCACGTGTCTAACACGTCCAACTGATGCCAGCAATCTGTAAAAACACGATCTCTCACGGGCAAATACAAGCAGCAGAGAACAGGACACACCCTGAGCGACACTCCCAGCCAGAAAGCCCCGCTGGTGAATAACGGGACTGATGTTCGTGCTCAACAGACTCGCAGCAGCAGCATCATCGTAAAGGAATTAACCAGACCGAGTCTGTACATTTCACTGCATGTCTAATTAAATTCTCTCTCTGCTGCACCCCCGCAAACTGTAAAGAGCAAGCACTGTGTTTGAGAGAACGCCCATGTACGCCACCAGACGGTGTAGTCAAAACCACCCCGACCGCCTTTGTCTCTCCAGAGTTGACGATGGCAACATGGCACCCTATAGAAATAACGCGACGCCCATGGATCATGATGGCCTGGCATCAACCCCAGGGGTGGTTGCGCTTTGGAGAAAAAGGTTATCGGATCACACGCAGATTTGTGAAATTCCCAAATGTGCTGCGCTGCTGGTCATTAGACGGCAGTACAGCAAGTGGGTTCTTTACCCTCTACTCTACAGGCCGTTGTGTGTTAATATCGCTGTGTACGCGTGGCGGCTTTTCTCTGGGTACCACGATTCCTCCCCCCTCCCCCCACAACGTGTAAACAATCTTTAAAATGGAAGTGGCCAAACATCCCAACGCAGGACATTCCTTTAAAAAAAGTTTGAGACTCAGCGAGGCTTTGATCACTGAATTACATTATAACCTAGATGATATTATATGACGGGGGCATCACCGTGGTGTAAATGGTTGGCACATTGGACTTTCAAATCCAGAGGGTCGTCCACACGTTGCGCAGCAGTTGGAACAACGGTGCAGGATTCTGAATCCCCCTCCTCCTGACTCTGTCCACCCAGCAGGGCAACCAAATGGGTTCAATCAAGGCAGTCGAGCGGCAGGCAGCTTGGCGTGTTGGTGGCATAACACTGCGAGTTACTCCCACCTCTTCTTCCAAGACGTTAGGGCCAGCCAGCGTGAAAGAGTGGTGGGGGGTGGGAAATCTTCCGAGGCGGATTCTCGAGATCTTCCTTCTGGTTTGGGAGTGTAACCGTCCCAATAGTAACGAGCGAGGCATTGCAGAGGGCTGCGTCAGAACATCGCTGTTGTACGATGCTTTTCGTCGATGACAAGCCCCCCCCAACCACCCCCACCCCAAAACAAGCACTTTTATTAAGAACGCCAGAGTGCACGTGAGCCCAAGACACAATCACATGTGTCAGAGAGCACACATGTGCTTTCCATTAAGCCATCTCATTGTGAGCTGGGAGTAGAAAACAGCCAAACAAGAAAGGAAAAAAAAACCCTACAGTACTGAGACACGTGAACTGCTTTTTCAGTGTTCACAGTTTGTGTAAATGGATGATGAGGTTTATGGGAATTATCTGGCCTTGGGAACTTGGTGCGGTGTAAGCACTGTTACAGACAACTGTCATTCCAAAATACTTATCATCACGGTTAAAACAATCAATAGCATACACGTAGCACAATATACAAAGTACAATACGCTGAGGCATATGAAAACGCAACTAAACCGCACGAGAACAATACGCTTTGACAAATTGCACAACGCGATTCGTTTTGCTCGCTACGAAAACTCAACATTTTATCGAATCTCATTCCTCGCTCCAGATGCACCATTCTGCAATAGGTTTCTCTAATCTTAACGTTCACTTTAGTAAAATATTTAATTGATAATTAAGTAATATATTGTACCTGCTTTAAATCTGTTGCCTTTTGTCACTGCTGTATTGTCTTGTATTTATAATTTTTATGCGACTTATTGCAAACATTGCGTTTTTAATTTTACAGTTTTTGTTGTTGTTGTTGTTGTTGATGATGAAACCCGATTCAAGAGCTTCCTTAGCTCACTGGGTAATTCTAAATAAACTGTTCAAGCTGTTCAGACAACAACCTCGACTAAATCTCTCCTCCCACGTGTTTTTTTTTTACAACAACATTCTCAAACCGCAGCGGCACGCGACCCCGGCAATCCGGAGAGGTCGATGACCACCTACCCCGCGTGTTCAGCAGCAGCAGCAGCGGCGTGAGCGCACGACGCAAGCGGCCCCGGAAAAAAAAAGTTGAACGCTCTCAACGCAGGAAGAGATCTTGAGCCACGGGGCCACCGCTATGCCCACCCGTGGCTCTTCTCGGCTGACCCTCCTCCAATGTGCCCCCTTTTTCCCCCTCTCTCCTTGTCAAAAAAAAAAACCCCAACGTGCAGTGATGTCTGCCGACCAGGGCCGGGGAGTGGGGGGGGGGGGGGTCTCATGGCACAGCGGATTTGCCGACGCTGTGTCTATGCGTGTCCGCGTGTGTGTGTCCGAGAACGGGGAGCGGTGGCGCAATGGTTAGCGCACTGAATTACGAACCCCCTGACCCCTTCCCCGAGTTCGATTCGGGGCCCCTAGAAGTCGATTCAAATGAGTAGCTCTCTGTGCGATGTCAAAACATCAGCGCGGGGAGAGAGGGGGGGAGAGAGACAAAGGCGGTCCGGGATACTTGCTGACCACAGACCACCCCCCCCCCCCCAAACCAACCCTCGTGCGCTGTGCCGGCCTTTCACAAGTGCTCGCGAACAGCACTTGCCCCCTCCCCCCACCAAACACCCCCCCCCCCCCCCCCAAAAAAAAAAATCCCGTGTGGTCTGCTACACGTGGGATCCGTGTCTTGTCGTCTGTGTCCGAGTAAGTGTCGTCTTCCCCGTCTGCCCTACCTTGTCGGCGAGGCAGTCCTCAATCAGCCACCCAGCGGCATGTCCGTGGCCGTCAACGCAGTAGGCAGGAGCCGTCGGACGCGTCTTCGGAGCGAGGCAGTTCTCTTGTTTTGTTTTAACGAGACAAAGGGGCTGCGACTGGCGAGTGACTTCTGCGCAACTCACACCCCCCACACACTTTGCCGGGCTCCTTCCGTCAAGCGTCTTCCCCGTTTAGCCAACCTCCGTCGTTGCAATGAAGCAGAGCAAGACGGTGGTGGTGGTGGTGGTGGTGCTGGCGGAGTTGCGGCGAGATGCCCCTCGCTATATACCCGCTCCGCTGCGCGCTCCTCCCGCATCCCCAACCCCTCCTCCTCCAGCCAACCGAAGCAGCGCCACCACCCCCCCCCCCCCCACGGCTCTCTCTCTCTCTCCTCTCCCACCACCACCCCCCCACGGCTCTCTCTCTCTCCTCTCCCACCACCACTCCCTCTCCCTCCCTCTCTCTCTCCAGCCTCTTCCTCCCGTTGCGTCGCCTCCCCCACCACCACTACTGCTATTACAACATCAGCAACAGCAGCAGCAGCGACAACCGCAGCACAGCAACACAAACCGCAGGCGGGGCACAAACTTACACGCTTACCAACATCACCTACAGCGGCGGCGGCACCACCACCAGCTAAAGCGGCAGCATCAGCAGCATCATCATCAGCAGCAGCCAAGACAAAGACACCAGCAGAAAGCAGCAGCGGGAAGCAGTCGTAGCAGGAACACCGACAACACAGATCTCTCTGCTGGGGCAATTTCTGTTGAAGCGAGCACCCACCGAGAGCCGGCAAGGGCACAAAGGAATATTCCGAGCAGCACCAAAGACGACCCCCTACCAACACCACCACCACTAACAGTGAAGTCAGGGACCCCCGTGCCCCCCAATCCGCCGCTGTTCCCTCTATCTCTGCACCCCTCCAACCACGCCAACAACAATCCCAACCACCCCCAACAACAACAATAATCCCTAACTCGCCACCACCACCCCCTTCCGTGCCTCCGTAACAATGCGCGCGAACGCAGCACGACTTCCTCTGCCGGCAGCGCCCGTGATGTTTCCGTACGTATGAACTTCTTTCGCGCCGTACGCGAGCAAAAACGATCATCTCCTGCAGGAGGAGGAGCAGGAAATGATGGTTCTGCCTGCGTAGCGGCAGGAAGGTCGCACGCACAGAAGATGCAGGAGTGCAGCTCCTCCTCCTCCTGCTGCTGCTGCTTCGCTTCTTCTGCCACTCCTCGCCAACAGACGGACGGCAACACGGATGATGATGATGATGTTGAACATGGCACGTCGGACGGACGGACGGATGGCGGTCGCCTGCCGGGCAAATGCAATGCGCGTGGATTGTATTATCTCCTATTATTGGGGGACATCGTCATCACCATTAGTATAATTGTCGTCGTCTTCGTCTTCGTCGTCGTCGTCGTCATCTTATTCTCGGAAGACGTTGGAACGCTGGCGGCGTAGATTGGAAGCGGATTTTGGCGGCTGGGGTGGGTGGGTGTGTGTGTGTTCATATGCGTGCGGATGGCGTTGGTGAGCGCACGAATGCCCGCAGCCAATCGAGGATCTCAACACAAGGCGCCGTCACCCACACAACGCTGGCCGAGGCTGGCCTTTAGTAGAGATCTGCGCAGCCAATTTTTTTTTTGCCGAGGCAATGTGCACGAGGTTTGTGCTGCTCGATTGCAAACATCGGTGATTACCGTGTAACGAAAAAAACACACGTGTGTTCCTGGGTAGTAAGTGTTATTTTCTAATTGCGTATGACTCAAAGGTATAGAAAGTGGCGATTGTTCCCCACAAACTTGGCTTTTTGTGACCAGGACACAAAAGCAAAGTTAATAATCCACTCCATTAATAACACTGTGTAACAAAAAAAATTGTTCCTGGGTAGTAAGTGTTATTTCCTAATTGCTTATGCCTCAAAAGTACAGAACATGGCTATTATTCTCCACAAACTTTGCTTTTGTGACCAAGGCATTGATATTTTGACATTTACCTATTTTCAATGAGAAAACGTGGTGTGCATTTGTGTCATTCCTTCACGTAAAGTCCTGGTCACAAAAGCAAAAGTTTGTGTGGAATAATAATAGCCATTTTCTATACTTTTGAGGCATAAGCAATTAGGAAATACCACTTACTACCCAGGAACAAAAAAATAGTGTTGGACCGTGCGGTGTTTAGGAGGTTGAACGAAACCGATTGTCATGCTGCTGTTTAAGCGCCTCTTTGCTTTACGGCTGAACTAATGTAGAAATCTGCGCAGTCATTTTCCAAAGCTGAAAAAAATACATGATGATGATGATGATGCGGAGCTGAGATGTTGGTTACCGTACCATGAATTTAAAATGTGAACGTGGATACGATTTGTGGCATGAGCACTTATACAGAGTTTTCACTCGTTTTTTTACGGGGAATTAAACGTGATGTGGCAATTATAGAGTGTCAATATAAAATACCGCAATTTATTGTGCGGAAGAGTGGCACAACGGTGAGCACCCTGCGGCAATTTAAACCGGGCCAACTTTGTTTGGGTTCCGGCCACAGAAAAAAAATCAAGAGTCATGTCCGACCTGGTCATGGTCCCCTGCCCCCCTTCACCAACCCGCTCAACCCAAACGTAGGCAAGGATATGGTCAAACGTGGGGCAGACCTCAATCCAGCAGTGGATTTACAAAGGGCTGCACGTACTGTACGTATGTTAACGAGATAAAGAGCGCTTTTGCATTGTTTTGTATATATGTATTCACAGCAGCGTGCATGCAGTGTTATATCATGAGCTATACTTTGTAACTAGCTTTTTGCCCGTCCAAGGACGAGTGGAAATTGCAGTAAATCTGAAATATTCAATAGAAAAATGGTTCAGCTCATTATTATTCAGGGGGGGTGGGGGGGTTGCCCCATGTGGAGTGACGTCACCCGCTAAAGGTTATTGGGAAGGGGTGCAGCGTGTGGAGTGACATCACCCCCTCATGGTTATTGTGGAGGGGTGCGGCATGTGGAGTGACGTCATCCGCTCATGATTATTAATGAGGGGAGGGGTTCGTGTCAATTTCCACACGGGCATGTGAATATTAATGAAGGGGAGGGCCTCTTTTGCAGTGACGTCACGCACGGATGTAGCACTGTGCTGTGTAGATTTATTTTTTACCGTCACTTTCTGTAAATAAACGTCAGCTCGACCTTCCTCTGCTTTCGTGTAAAAATCCACCCACTCATGAATATTAATCAGGGGGGGTGGGCCTCATGTGGAGTGACGTCACGCGCGGGACGGACAGACATTTCTGGGTGATTATAGTAGGTAATGTGTTAAAAAAAACATGCTCTGGGTCATAGAATCGTAAACGAGGTAATAATCACATTGGCAAGATAATGTGAAGTTACTGATTAATAGATATAGTGGTGTGCCTGTGCATTATCCCCTGGGCGATGTGAGGTCCTGCTGAATATTTCAATCTCAGATGTAAAACTTATTTGCTTTCCTGGTGCTGTGGCATATAAACATTTTTTTTTTATCAAGACCCACTGAGATATATAACTGGCCATAAATGAGAGCTCAACGAAGTGGCTTATCATGTGGAAATGTATCGCACCCATAAATGAGAGCTCAACGAAGTGGCTTATCATGTGGAAATGTATCGCAGCTATAAATGAGAGCTCAACGAAGTGGCTTATCACGTGGAAATGTATCGCAGCCAAACTCTTAATTTATTCTTCAAATTTATAGCAGCCAAATATGGCGTGACCCGAATCGACTAACCTGAGCAATGCGAATGCAACTTTCTTATTTTAGAACCTGCATTTTATTGTATTTTTGTGACAGTTATATTTTAAGAGTGCTGCAATAGGTGAAACAAGTTCATGTTATTTACGTGTTATTTTCAATATGCAGTATATCCAAACAATGCTGACGTGATTTCAAGTTTCAAGTTTCATTTATTAGATATAGCCCTGTGAGCCATGCGGTTCTTAAGTCGGGTGCAACCGCAACAAACAAAATTTGAACACAGAATATCTTAAAGCGATAACGCGTAACAGAAACAGCCTGGAATAAACCAGCAAATATTCCACACAAAAATTTTTATCAAAACGCTGAGTGCAAAAATCAATGTGGTACAAGCCAACAACAACCATAAGACAATTTAGATTAACCATATGTTTTCGAATCACCAAAATAAAGCTATAAAAACAATGTAACAACAGTAATCATAGCAACTGTGATTTTAAATTTAACAATAAACGATATACATAACACGTACGACAAAAAAAACTGCAGCCATAGCTGGCTGGTTAACACACCGGACTTGCAATACAAGGTCGCCGTCTCTTTCTCCCGGCGCGGCAGTTTGAACAATGGGGCAAGTTTTCTTAAATGCTCCACCAGTTTATAGGTCAAAATGCCCTCTAGACCTCCCTCGAGTTGAAGGCCCTTCTGCCAGCAGTTGCATAGGTGCACCTTTATCAAATACTAAGAATGAAAATAAAGATACAGCACGAGATTCAGACATGCAAGCCGGCATGCGTTAGGTATGAAACCGTGCTTCAGAATGGGTGCGTATATCAGGTACTGAAATAAATGTATTGTTCGTGTTTAACACGAAATTATTTTGTCGTTTCCATCATAATACTGCACGATCACAATACTCTTATTTTATAGTTTGCGATTCACAGCGCAAGTCTCGAAGCCCAACATCCAAGAACACTTTGGCAGATAATATGATTTGAATAACTGAAGTGGTTTATGACAAAAAAAGTATACATATACATTGTTTAAAACTATGTCAATGAATTCACGTAATCACGTGTATGCAGATAGTATAAAAGTCAAATATTGTACCATTTTAAAATAACATTTGGAAGACCTTGAATACCAATTATATTTTTTTCAAGTTACAAAAATCATCCCTGAATTGGTAATAAACCTTCAAAAAATGTGTTGTGCTCAATAGGTTAACTCTCTGAAGCTCCCTCTAGAGGAGAGACTCTTGCACCAACTTTCGAGTGAACAAATTCATTGTGGGGCTGCAACGTTAGTTTTTTTTATTGGCAAACTGAAAAAAAATCTAAATGTTTTTTTCGGATTTTTGGGCCATGTTCATTAGTGCCTATAAGAAATGTCAGTAAAGTATTTCACAACACATCTACTAAATAATCAATACATTTCAACAGGTACGTCTGAACTTAACTGGGTCTTATCATGACTTAAAGCGTTCGTGACTTTCGGTAAAGTCACGTAGAAAAATCACGTAGAACCTATCTACGTGACTTTACCGAAAGACCCAAGAATATAGGTCTTATAACTTTCACGTGTTCCATGC